CGTAATACAACCGGTTGTTCAACGGATTTTAACGCTAAATTTTTGATTTTATAGGTCCATGTTGGTTATTCTTAGTTTTTAATTTAAATAGAACAGCCGAAATAAAATCAACGCCTCTACGTAATTTCACATAAATTACTGGAGTACATAATAAATAAATGCACGTATTCGAGAAACATTCTACATTAAAATGTCATCGATCATTGTTTGTATTCGAATCCAAACACGAGTGCTATTGACACATATTCAAAATCCATCTATGCATTTTAACTAAAAAGAAGAGTCCCTAAAAAAGTGCATGAAACAGATATGTCTTATCTCGGTCGAGTTCGAAGATGAGGAGAATCCCTCAAGAAATGGTTGAGTTATCGAAAAAATTGTCATTTTTGACCAGACCATCCCTGAGGAGGAGTACAGGGATTTTTTTTTCAAAAAATAAATCTTTCTCAGAATTATTCACAACATATATAAATCGACTCAGTTTTTAACGCTGATTCCGAATCTGATATTAGTTTTGCACTAAACCGCAGCTTTCTAACGAAACATCGCCTGAAAAACGTCTCAAAATGCACAAAAACTGCATCCAGAAATCAAATTGCCTAGTTTCTCATGATAATTTTGGTGTTCAGACATTCTAGAATGGCTCATATGTCCCATGCACTTTTTGCAGTACACATAACTTTCGGATGAAATCCGAAGTTTCCGCATTTATTTTCTTATAATTCATAGAATATTCACCTTTAGATAAGACATATCTGTTTCATGCACTTTTTTAGGGACTCTTCTTTTTAGTTAAAATGCATAGATGGATTTTGAATATGTGTCAATAGCACTCGTGTTTGGATTCGAATACAAACAATGATCGATGACATTTTAATGTAGAATGTTTCTCGAATACGTGCATTTATTTATTATGTACTCCAGTAATTTATGTGAAATTACGTAGAGGCGTTGATTTTATTTCGGCTGTTCTATTTAAATTAAAAACTAAGAATAACCAACATGGACCTATAAAATCAAAAATTTAGCGTTAAAATCCGTTGAACAACCGGTTGTATTACGTCAGGTTGATTATTTTTCTATGCGAGATAAAGATAACCCTCCCGTTTTCTGAAGAATAACATGCCGGTAAACAGAAACGCATATCCTAAACAGTACAATGCCAGGGAAAACTTTGAAATGCTCTAGCAAATAAACTAATATTGTAAGATATTACAAGAAAAAGCAAAGTAATGTTCTTGAAGTAGTCTAATAGAGACATTTTACAGGTTTCAATAGAAGTTAAATCGTTTATCTGAAATTTGACAGGGAAATAGATTAGTACTATCGTTTGTTTCAAAAAATCGTTCTCCGAAACAGTAGCATTTGCTCATTCTGTTGTAATAAATCGATTGGTACATTGTGTTTGATCATCAACATTTGTATTACTAAGTGAAAAAATCAGACGTTCTAGGCAAAACCTCATTCAACGATAATAAAACATTTCTTCATTTTGTAATGAAAGATTAAAAAAAAAAAAGAAGCTCAGCTATATGTCATCAAGTGAAATAACGCCCATGACTTCTTAATGAAAATAGACATTGATCTAAAGTTAATTAGATAGCCTTCAATCGATATCAAATTGCTCAGATGCTATGATAATAGTGTAAACGGGATCATCGTCTGACAACAAATTACAAGGTTAAATGCGTCTCTTTGATACTAGAAAAGAGTGTCCTCGAACTGTAAACTACTTAGATATCCTATCGTACAAATTCTTTTTGTTGGCAATTAAAGTATCTCGATAGAATATGTTATAGTTTATCTATGGAAAAACTTGCTTCAGAGATTATTTATTTTCCAGTAGTAATCGCTAAATATATGAAGATCTCAATAATTCTAATAAACAGTTGAAGTCAATTTCGATGATCGCTTACATCATTTTTTCAAGTTCTAATCTTTTGAAATCATCTTGAAAGTTTCAATTATATTCTTTCATAAAAATTTTGCATATCAATACATATTTCAATGATCATTCTCATTGATTAAGTTTGATAGAATGTAACCATCGTTTATCATTCATTTGACTTTAGTATATCAAAGAAAAATAACAAAGCTTATTTTTCACATAACCACGTATTTGAACTTTTATACCTAACCATGACAGTTTATTCTTATTATTATTCTCTGTTCATCTTGCGATAAGAACAACTTGTTTGTTTGTTTTTTATATTGATAAGAGAAAAGGTTTATTAGCAAAATTTTCTCTTCATCGAATTCAATCAATGGAAACAACAGTAAATATGATTGGCATAAGTAAATAAAACGTGCAAAGTGATGTAAGATGTCGAAACGATTAATAGATGCTATCGTGATTGCACATTCTCTATCGACTTTGTTTTGATATCTTTTATTCATTCGGATGAGAATAGAGAGAGCGAGAGAGGGAGAGATGAGCTTGTTAGTCTTGCTTTGATAATATTCCTTATGAGATAATAATTGTTTTGCTTTTTAACCTTTTTAAGACAATATACAAGAAAGGTTGAACCTCATAAGAACAAAACAAATATAATTTTAAGTTCATAATAGTACTGAGATCTCTCAGTTTTTGTTTCTGACATAATCTATTCTGACAACGGAAACATATGTATATGTCATTCCAATATTTAGAGCAAGCCGAGTGTATATTAGGCCAAGTGCCATCATTGATACAATGCGCACATATCTTGTTGAATGATGCTGATGATGATTGAAATTTGTTTTTTTTCTCTCTCAGTATAATCAACACTTCATGCGAATAAACATGCTCACGGCCATAGCCTTGAACGCCCATCAATGAAAAAAAAGTGCCGTTTGTTGAATATGCACATGTGAAGAAAAAAAAAGGTTGTCAGGCGGCGCATGGTCTTAATGTTCATATAATCAAGGAAAGAAGCTCTATCCGCAACAGAGATTCTATATAGTATGTACACCTATCACCAATACATAGAAAAAAAAGGAAAAAAAAAGAAAGAGAAATGGAGATCATTTAATCTCTGGATGGTATACTGCTGGTATTGTTGTTGTTACCATACAGGCTCAATACCAGGCGAGAGAGGAAAGAGAAAGAAAAAAATACAATTGTATTTGTTACCATTCGCAGAGAAAACGAACAGAGAACTGATCTCCATCAAATGTTCATCTTATAAAGACGAGAGAATTATGCAGATACTCATTCAGAATAGACACTTGAATAAATTCAAATAAAAAAAAGAAAGAAAAAAAAATATATATATATATATGTATATAAATGAAAGAACGAAAGACTTCTTTACTTCAATATTTGCACGTATGTATTATATATTCTATACAACAAAAGTTTAAGTTTATTTTATTGAAACAAGATATTTTTCATATTCATTGTAGATGTTTATTAAAAAATTCTAATGACTCAACGAATTATATTTTATTTTTTTATTTTCTTCTTTATTCTTATACTACCATCGTGGAATTATCAATTTGAAAGTTGCTGTTCAAATGAGAAGGCGCTAGATAATTCAACGCGTCTTCTATTATGTCCTTTAAATTTTGTTATTCAATTACGTTCTGCTATTTTTTATACTGGCAATGGTTGTGCACGTAGCGCATGTCAAAAACGTCTCAATAAATATTATCTATCATGCAATAATCATCGTACATGTTCAATATCCACTCAATGTATTCTTATGGGTTCGCCAACATGTTCATGGTTAACAAATACAAACATTTATTCTCAATATTTAACCATTGATTATGATTGTATTTTACATAAATCAGAAACACCATTAATACCAAAAGATGATCAACCGAAAAAAGAACAAAATGAAAATATTGTTCTTTTCTCTGCTAAAGTTAAGATAGAAACACCACCGGATTCACCGGAAACCGATTCAATTTCGTCCAGTGATGAAAAAGAATGGAAAGAATATTTTCTTAAAAAATATTTTCATTCAGAAAAACTCAACGACGACAAAGCAATTATTATTCATCAGCCACGTTCATTAATTAATGATATATTTCGTACAATAATCATACTTATTACATTTACGTTTATTCTTATTCTAATCATGATTATTGCACTTTTTCTTTATAAACATATTGTATTGATGAAAAAAAGAAAATTATATGGTCAAGACAAACATCGGCCATTTCCGACTGACGATGCTTATGATAATTTAAAAGCAACTAGAATCGAATCGGCAAGTGAAACTGGTACAACAACAGATGTGTGAGTTGACATGAATGTGTTGCTGCTTTTTTTTCATACTCATTTATAAACTTCAAATTGCGTGCGTTTGTGTATGTGTGTTCGAGTGGATTTGTTTGCTTGCTTGTTTGTTTGTTTATTATTAACGTTTAACGAAATAATATATTCATATAAAGATATACAAGTTTTTAATATAATGATATATATAACTAACGGCAATGATGAGATAATACAAACAAAGTTTCTCTTCATTCGTTTATTCGCCTTCAACCATAATCGATATATATATATATATATTTATTAATCTATTGTTATCAAGGGTTTTGTTGCTGCTCGAAGAATTGATTTAGTCTCGATGAGGTGCAAATGAGCATGATGTAATCTAGTTTCTTTTTGGTTGACCAGTCTATTATCAATAATCAAAGGAAAAAAGCGGGTAATGGTCTAGTTCATTAAATACAAATATGAACTGTAAGATTGGACTGTGTGTGAGAAAACGTGATACGATATCCTATTTTTGTTATTCTCACTATGCTTGTCAATGATTGCGTATACAGCTAGTATATATATATATATATATATATATGTATTAGTCCTTGGAGTATTGTCGTGTCAACTCTACACCACACGCCTATATTCAGCTTAAAGAGCTCAGTCATTTTATCCATATTTCTATGCACATATAGAAAGAGAATGAAGAAGACGAAGCAGAAGAAAAAAGCTCAATCAACTATATGTATATTTATTATGTCATAATATGAATGAATGTTAGCCAGCATATGAATCTAATAGGTTGTACTATATGCACGTTGTTCAATGCCATCATTCTCATTATTGATCAATAACTGATTGATGGTTCTTTAAACAGGGATCTGTCGCTTTTTATTGTTAACAGTTACATTATCGAAATGACTTTCAGTTTGACATATGCTAAATTACACTTGTCTTTGTGCAGTTAGTTAATTGACTTTGCATGGTCGTTATGCAGGTGTTCTATATAGTTGTCAGAAATTGAATCAATATTTTCTTTGATATGAATTAGTATACTGAATAGAAGTATATTATTATAATTTATGTGAGGTCAACATTGACAGTCATATCCTATCAACAATGACCATAGGGTATCAAAGCTCAATGTGGTCTATAATAAATCGACTACGGGATATCAAATTAAAAGTAAGTGCACAGTTTGGAAAGTATATTGATTTCGAAGGCAATCATAGATTTGCATCAAATAATAACAAAAACAAAAATTGAATCGAACCATATTATAATGCAAGTCTAAGAAAATTATTTTGCCACTTCGCATACAATATCTTAGTATGATTTGAGTGTTCAAGATATTGTAATCAGTTCACTGACAACCATAATTAATGCATTGCTTCGATCATATTTTCTACTCAGTAGGTATTCATAACATTCATTTGATACACAGCATGTATCTTGAAAACAAACACTGTGTGCGAATATGAATGTTAATTATTCACGAAAGTTAAGAAATAGGATCAATTATGAGTAAGAAGAAAATATTGAAACCATAAAACAAACATTGTATATAAAGACAAACAATTGAACTGTGTATATGATGAATAACTTGATTTTTTACAATTGCACAAAGCAAATATGTCATCGAGATGAAAAAAATCAAGTAGATCACTTCGATCTGTAGGAGATTTTTAGTTTCTATTGAATGTAAATAGGATATAGAAAATCATGCCAGGATAATTAATTTAGAAAAAAACGTCTGTCAAACTTCTATAGAATAACTAGATAAAAATAACAAAAAGTCAGCAACTTTATAAAAGATCAATGTTAAAAATAATGAACTAGTATTATTATTATTTAGATAGGCACGGTTATTCGAACAATAAAAGAAGTTGGTAACTCGAAAAAAATATTATTTCAATAGTCTATTTAAAATTCATCGATTAATTAAAAATATGAGTCACTGTTTACTCAAGTGTAAATATCGAATCGATCTGACAGAAAAATCGGATTCATTCTGATAAATGAAATCAGAGTGATAGAATAATTTGTATAGTAAAATTTATGATTGTTTTGGTTACTCCCAAATACATAACAAACATATTGCTTTCATTTTTTTTATCTTGAACAAATAGTTTTAGAGATAGAAAAAAAGAATCATTAATTAATTACCATAAAAACTAAACAGATATTTATGCTTTGTTTAAAGTGCAATCATATCATATCATATCATACATACATACATGGATACATATGTACGCAATTAATTATTGATTATATCAATCTGTATTGGAATCCTGCTACTTGATCGGACCCGCAAGCGAATACGAGTTGAACTTTGAACAGGGTCAGGTTCATTTTTCTACGCGTAATCTACTGCTCTCTATGTACGATTTCATCACTGATGTAAAAGTCAATGTCTCGTACGCTATCAATTCGCATTATCTAAACGGACCGCAGTTATAGTTGAAACAATTGTAAAATGATGATAGAATTGAATGTTCTTTTGTACAATATGAAGAAATCAATTGCAACCTTGATAGATCATTGTAATGACACAGTTCAAATGAACTGTAGAATACTCCGTGATACTATTAGTTCAAATAATACTAAGGCAACATAGAGACATTGCCGAATGTTTTGTTCATTGAGCCTATCGAACATACTCTACAGTAACCTTTGAATTAATTAACAGCAAGAGAATAAGTGCTGGCTCTTCTATTTTTCAGCTAATCATATTTTAGTAGTTAATATTATGTAGGAAGAATTTTTCATGTCATCACGCTTGATATCTCAAAATCGCATAATACCATGTTTTTGTAATTCAATAGTTAATGTGTTCAATATTAATTTCTGGTTCTAAAAGGTAAACCGTTGCAAGACTCGATCGTATATTTAAAAAAAGCAAGTTAACTCTCTTATGTATAGTTTTGTTACAGGAATTCTTTTCTTTAATTAAACAATTTCTAGCTTTACATGTCCTAGTTTATAATTATTTTTGTTTATCTCAAAAAGTTGTTCTACCGCTTGAACATATGCAATATGAAGTCGATCGATATCTTCAGATGTTGGATCAGTATTTTGTGTAACGTGAATTGGCTTGCCAACTATGTTGAAGAAAAGAGTTTTGTTTTAGTTTATATATGAATAGAAATATCAATTATATCGTACCAACAGTAATTACAGGATGTCGAAGTGGTACATGCCCGAAGATGAATCGGCCCCATGGTAAACCATTGGGAATCAACTTGAAACAAGCATGTCGTGTATAAAGCTCGTTTTCTCCAAATGAAATAACTGGTACTAACGAAGCACTAAAGAAAAACGATTTCGTTTCTCCTAAAACGACTCTCTACTAAAGAAGTAAACTGACCCATGTTGTAATGCAAGTCTAACAAAGCCTTGTCTAGCCTTTAAATATAATTTCATTGTATCATTTTTTGTAAGATACATTTCACGTGCACCACCAATAATAATAACTAATGCATGGCCTTGGCCAGATTTCCCACTTAAGAAGTATTCACAACTCTCTTTCGATACACAGCATGCACCTAAAAAGCGAAATTTCTACTCTATCATGAATATGAAACAGTCATTTACCTAGCTTAAGTAATATTTCACGTGTAAACGGAAATAGAAATTGAAGATGGAGAAGCATCAAATGTGGGCGAATATTTGGAAACAGACTTGAGAAATGTGTCGCATCTGTAGCGAAATTACCTAATGCGCCAAAAGAAAATGCACCATGTGGATGAAAACCAAATATGTAATTTCGATTCGGATCAAGATCTTCAGTTTTAATTAATTTAATAGGAAAATAATTTACAAATGGTTTAATAATCGGCAATCGCCGAAACCAATCAGACCATCGACCTCCTTGTGAATCTGTATAACGATCAAAATAAATCCAACAGCCGTATATAAAACATAGTGTAGCAGTCATGGATAGAGACCAAAACCACGATAGAAGAAATATTGTAAATAATGTAACCAAAGGTGAAAATAGAAAAATAGTCCAAAGCAAATAAATTGTTAATAGCTCTATAAACTGTGCTAAACCCATGATCTAAATATTAAAAAAAATGGACATAAATCAATGATCGTTTTCGAGTCTGATCTTTTCAGTTTATTCAAATAAAAGAAAAGAAAAGATTACTTATTGTTCTTATAAATAGAAATAAAGTCATTAGAAAAAACTTGAATATAATGTGGAATGCAATCAATAAATAGAGAAGAATATTGCCTAGAATTTTACAAAGGAAGTGTATAATGTAACCATCGATGGCTTTTCGATGCTCCACTTCTATTGTAGACAGCTTGAGCACGTTTATTATCTACCGAAGTTTCCCATGTTAGAGACAAGGCGCCGTGTTCCCGTGCTTTTTGTGCGCATTCAGTAATAACAATGTCAGCTATACCTTGACCACGATACTCTTCAGAAAGAAAAAGATCATTCATAATGGCAATGCGCCCACCTTGCAATGTAGACCAAGTCCAGAATATTGTTGCAAAACCAATTGGGGTTCGCTTTTTAGAATCACGAACAATAAGTTGAATACCTTCGTTTGTTGGGTTAGTTATCAATGCACGCGATAGAGACATAAGAGCATCATCGGTAGCTAACGGAATTTGTTCTGTTTGATTATAAAATTCGCAGTACGCTTTCATTAAAGGTAATAAATCAGTTAGATCATTTTCATTAACGATCTCAATACTCCAACGTGATTCAATTGCTGGTGTTGTCATTTTTCTTGTTTTTGATAGTGAAAAGGTCAAAGAAAAAAAAACAGAAAAATACTTGTTATTTTCTTTCTGTTGTCTTTTTTCTCTTGAATCGGGTTAGTCAACAGAAAAAATATGGATTCAGTGATAAAATCTGACAAAAGATGTCCTCTATTACCATGCATGTTCTTGACAAGAGTACTCGTGCACTGTGTACTACTTTTCAAGATATGCTTTTCAGCTGTTTGGCGAATATCTGTATGAAGAAAAGCGATAGTAACGCAGCAGCAAGACTAGAAGCTTCAAATTCAATGGTCGACTTTTCTGTGCTCTAGCGAAAAACCTACTGTCATAATACTGCCTGCGGATTTCTAAAATTTTCCTGAGTCCGTCACCTCGAGTAGCTGGTTAGTGTATTTAAAATATGTGTCTTTTCGCACTAGTCACTTTTACAGCTAGAGTTTTCAAGAAAGCAAAAAGTAACGTTTTGATTTCAAATTTCAATTCTTCCCTTTGCTAGTGTGATACGGTATTTTCCCAATATATGTTTCTCTTTCTTTGATTTTCCAAATATGTAATATAATCTGTTCACTTCTCCAATTTGTACGCTAGTCTTAAAGTAAAAAAATGAATTCACTATTACAAGGCGTCAAAAAATCCACAACAAGGAAGCATGTATCATCTATTATCGCGAATCGGTATTGACTTTTTTAACACGAACATCGAAATCAATTGCATAATCTATATGATACTTCGAACATATCTTCAATTCAACGATCTACACAATGATTTCATCAAAGAAAATCCTCGAATTCATTGTTAATGTAGTTTATTGTTGGTTAGGTATGAATTTCAAGTTGATGCATTGATTATAAATTACATTTATTCAAAAATAAAGTGATAACGATTGCACATACAATATTTATAAGCAACAATAGAAATAATATTTTACTCAATAGTTGCACGAATCTGTTTTCCAAACGATAGAAATATTTGTTCAAGTGTTGTCTGTGATATAGTGTATGTTTCAATATTCAATCGTTGTTTATTTTCTTCAAGTAATTGAAATAATTCAGCTGGAGTACTTTGTCCTATTTGAAATATTCCCGTTGAATGTGTTGTTTCCTTAATTTCAACACGATATTGTCGTTGAGATAAGAGAAACGATTCGATCTTTTTTATCGCCGTTGCATTCTGATCATCGAGACTTGTACGAACTTTTATTTCAATTGTATAACCTTGACCAAATTTTGATTTTAAATGTTGAATTGTACCCAAACAAGCTAATTGACCATGAACCATAATACCAAGTCGATTACAAATACGTTCACTAAAATAGAATAGAAACAAAATTGGGCGAAATTTTTCAAATTCGTTTCTATGATTTTAATTTACCATTCATCCATGGAATGACTTGTTAAAATAATAGTTAATTTAGCTTTGACAGCATTTAAAAATATTTCTTGCATTTGCTGTCGAGCATTTGGATCAACACCAGTCGTTGGTTCGTCAAGAATAGCAACCAATGGAGGTCCTGAACAAAAAAACAATTAACATTTTTATCTTAGAATTTCATTTTAGCATTAATCTATTCTACCGATTAATGCTATTGCTGCATGTAATCGACGTTTTGTTCCACCGCTTAATTCATGAATGTAATTATGTAAAAATGGATCCAATAAAAATAATGACCCTATAGTTTGAACTATAAATTTAATACGTGAAGATTGAACACCACGTATCCGCGCTAATAAATAAAGGCTATCTTGAACAGTGAGAAAATCCATGCTGCAATCTTGTTGTGGACAATAACCTAAATGGCGCGTTGATCTTATTCGACGATGTACATTTTGTCCATCGATATAAGCTGTGCCTTGTGTTGACATTAAATCGCCGACGACAATACGAAATGTTGTTGTTTTACCAGCACCCTATTTTTAAGTTGAATTAATACACGTTATTTTATATGAAAATAAATGAATATACTTACATTATAACCTAGTAAACCAAATGCTTCACCGCGTCGAGCACCAAATGTTAGATGATCAACAGCTAAAACTTTACGCATGGGATAATATTTAACAAGACTATTCACTGTTAAATGATCAATTTGTTCTTCATCGTCAGATGCATTCGTTGCTGATCCTAATACTCGACGACGTTCAGCTAAAACATCATCATCAAGTTTACTTTCATCAAAATTTTCTTTGTAGAAACATGAAAATGAAAATTGTAATAAGCCACTATCAATAATTATTAATATTAATAAGATTGATAATGAATGTACAACAAGTATGACGCCATTCCATGCAATAGTATCATCACCAATGGGTTGAAAAAATGTAGCTCCAAAAGAACTTAGAGTTGCTGGAACTTGACAAAATACGCTTTTCTTTGCTAATAGATATGTTACTATAACTTGAGCATTTATGCTTGGTGATATTATATTGAATAGCCAATATAAAAGTTGTTGAGTAAATTTACTTTGAATAATGGTTGTAACCATTGGGATAATAATGCTTATGAAATGAGAAATTATTAATAGAAAACATATCGTCATACCACCCTAAAAATTAAAATCATAAGTTATATACGAAAGTTTATCCCGTGAGATTCATTATGCAACAAAGGAGTTGCATATGAAATCCCAAAATCGAAACCGTGAACGATGGAATTTCCATCTGAATTTTTTCCATATGTAGGTCTCATGGTCCTTAGAATATTCTAAAATTTTCAGCGTAAACGGATGTTTCCTTCTCAACATAATGAATGCACAAGAAATGCTCATTTCACAGCAAGATCAGAAAGTTCAGTTTTTTTGAAAATTCAATATTTTAAGAAGAAAACATTTGTTCGAGTCGAAAGTTTTAGGATCCTCTATGGACCATGAAACCTATATTTGGGACGAATTTCAGGTCGATACTACGCCATTCACAAGGGGGGGGGGGGGGATGGGTTTGATTTTNCCCCCCCCCCCCCCCCCCCCCCCCCCCCCCCCCCCCCCCCCCCCCCCCCCCCCCCCCCCCCCCCCCCACCCCCCCCCCCCCCCCCCCCATGCTTGTCAATTTTCGGATTTAAAATCCCAAAAAATCCGACGTTTCCCCTTGTAACCGCCGGTCCTTGACAAACTTGATAGAATACAAAGTAGAAGCAATAATTCATCGATAAGACTTATTTTTGGTCATAATCTACACGAATAATTATATAGGTTTCATTGTAGAACTGACGTAGTATTTGATGAGATTCTTTTCTCGAAAGAATAGTTCATAGGAGAAACCCAACGCCAGAGATATTCTGAAAAAAAGATACTTACAAGAATATCACTTCGAAAAAGTTTTGTTAACAAATAAGCGAATGGTAACGTTGGTAATGTAATTATAATTGTTAATGGATAAAATTGTACTCGCAAATCCCATGGAGTAGCAAATTCCAATGATAACATTGTTTCTAATAGAGACTTTTTAACTGGCACACCGTTAAAAGCAACATCAAATATGCAATAAATAGCAAGCAAATAACAGAACCATATAACAGAAATAACAATATCAAATAGATAAGTAAATAGCCAATATGATGCTGGACTAGAGTTCAAATTACATTGATTAAACATCTTGATTAGTAATTGCTCATGAAAAGTTTACAAAATCTTCTATTTCTTTCGTACCACATATAAGCCAGAGAAAGTGGATGGTTTTTTTATTCTGAACAGGTCTGCCTTTTTAAAAAGATATCTAGTGTGGAAACCATGCCATATTTTATTAGTTTTGAATCTCGAGCTCTTAAACAATAATTCTGTAGTTCAATTTGTTTTCACAAATACTTTATTAGAACAGCAGCTCTAGGAGCTAAAATATGGAACTCACATATATTTGCTGATGTCTATGATGCAGAAGGGATAGAAGCTGCAAAACAACTTCGTCGTAGAACTTACACTCACTGTTTTCTTCAGAAAATATTTTGAGAGTTCCGCAAAGGGATGTACTACGCTTGTAATAGACTGACAAGATTAATGCGTAGATAAAAATTTATATTCGTCTCAGTGAGGTCTACTTATAGGTATTTTGATTTGTAACTAAAAAATAACTTACTGTAAACCGCTGATATTCAATAATGATAAAAAACTATCTTTTCGTTCGCTGATTAAAAATACAGTTGTATAAAAGAATAGAACATAGAATAAGAATCTAAAAGAAAATAATTAAACTTAGAATAAATTTTTGATCATCTCTTTTAATACTACATACACATCAATAATGAGTGATGTTGGTAATAATTTAAGAAAACAGGATGCAATATTTAATATGCTCATTAGACTGCCAAGGGATGGTTTTGTTGTAAAATTTCCTGTATTTTTATAGATCAATGTCGTTTGAATTGAGGCACTCGTATCATTTAATATATATTTATAGAATGTATTTGATGCAACTGAAACAACTTCATGGCCAGATATTAGATTCGATGATAATGCTTCAATTTTATAATTATCTCCGATCGGTTTTGGAATATTAAAACCAAGATAAATATCTGTATATGTATACAGTTGATTCATTCGTTTTTCTAGCATAAAAAATTATTTTATATGAATTTATTTTATAATCATCCAGCTTACGCAAAATCTTTTGATTCATTTCGGATAGATTGGCTGGTCCTGGTTGAAGCTGAGAACTACCGACAGATGCAAAAAAATATTTTTCTATCGCTGGATCTGTATGATAAACAATTGTTTGTGGATTAAGAGAGTTGACATTCATTTTATATATTCCATTTTCACTCCCGCTACGATATAATAAGTTCGATAGGAGATTGTATAAAATAGGTAAGAATAACACGATAATTGTCAGTGCCCAACGACGATATCGTACAAGTGCAGTTTTGATGATTAAACCATAATATTGATTCAAATGATAGTTAATACCAGTAAGAAATTGTTGATTACTAAATACATCATGACATTGCTTCTCTAAAAATAAAATCCACAAAATTTATTAATCATTCTTTTGTTTTTTTATTTGAGAAGAAAACGTTTTTTTTACTAACCGATTGTATCGATGTCAATTGATGATGAATCTAATTTATTATCATTTTTTGTCTCTCGCGTTATTTTTAAAAACACATCATCCATAGTACTATTTTGTACTCCATAATTTTTAACTCGATTTTCCTTTTTCATAATTTCGAGGTGACGTAATGCATTTACGAATTGTTCATTGGGCTGTTGATTCGTACGAAAAACAACATCACCACCAGATATATCTGTTTCAACTTTTAAATTTGGCAAATAATTACGTAATTCCTTTTTAATATCTTCTGTACGATAACCGCTATGTTTATTTACAACCAATTTATAACCTAAACATTGATGTCTTTGTTTTCAACAAAACGGGTATTCCTATTTTACGTACCTGATCCGTATTCTTCTTTAAGTTTAGCTGATGTTCCATCAGCTTTAATGGTGCCGTTAGCAATAATCATAATACGATCCGATAGGGCATCACTTTCTTCCATGAAATGTGTTGTTAATAAAAGTGTTTTACCTTCTTTCATTGAACGTAACCAATCCCACAATAAACGACGATTCGACGGATCAAGTCCACTTGATGGCTAAATAGATTTCAATTAAAGAAACAAATTTCGTTTGCCTATTGAATATTTACTTCATCAAGAAGAATAATTTTTGTATCTCCAACGAATGCACAAGCTAACGATAAACGTCTTTTCATTCCGCCAGATAATGAATTGCAATAGAGTTCTTGTGAACCTTGAAGATTAACTAAATAGAGCATTTCTTTTGCTATTCTCTCTTTGTTTTTTCCAAATCCTCGAGCTGTCGCATAGAATTCTAGCTGTTCTTTTATGGTCAACAAATCGAAAAGAATATCATGTTGAGGACAATAACCCATTGATTTTCTTAACATTTCCATATTGGCTCGAGTGTCGAAATCCATGCCATCTTCACTGTCGATTGTAATTGAACCCGATGTTTGTTTATACATTCCAATTAAACAATTAAATATTGTTGTTTTTCCAGATCCATTTGGTCCAAGTAATGAAGTTATTTGGTTTTCATATAAATTAAATGAAACATCATTTACTGCGATTTTATCATGGCCAAATTTTTTAACTAAATGATTCACATGAACAATAGGTTTTCCAATAGAATTTCTGCTTGCAACTGATTTCCGTCTAGTAGAACATGAATCCGCCTGATCAACAGTTACTTCCGAACGCCAATAATCTCGTTTAAATAGAAAGTTCCATCCAACAGGAACACCATATTCGCCTAAATATTTTAATTGAGAAACATCATTTACTCAATAATATTTGAGCTAAAGTTGAGTCTACGAAGAGATACTAATGGTATTGATAAATATCGCGAGGGACTTTTTGTCTAGTAAAGTTTCGAGATTGAGAACTATACTTGTATCATTGCAAATTGAAGCTTTGCCAGTAGATCGATCTAATCTCTCTTCGAATCTGCTCAAAACTTTGTGTCGACATTCTCTATTATCAATAACTAGACCTAAATTTTAATGAGACAATTCTAAGTCGGTCCGGGCGCTCAGTGCAGGCAAAATCAATTAAAATTTTATTAGTATCAATCAACAATTAAGCTCATGTAAAAAAAGAAGAAGCCGCTGGCTCCTGCATTGAATTCACATAAAAATAGGAGATAAATATTTATGAACCGACGCTCTCGCTTTACAATACTGCGAATGATCTTACATAAGTATAATCATTCTTCTTTTTTATCTATAATAAATGTGGAAACTTCGGATTTCATCCGAAAGTTATGTGTACTGCAAAAAGTGCATGGGATATATGAGTCATTCTAGAATGACTCATATGTCCCATGCACTTTTTGCANAAAAAAAATCCCTGTACTCCTCCTCAGGGATGGTCTGGTCAAAAATGACAATTTTTTCGATAACTCAACCATTTCTTGACGGATTCTTCTCATCTTCGAACTCGACCGAGATATTCATGAGATTAAACGTTGTGGAAAATTTCATCACGGTCTGACTCTCCTTTCGAAAGTTATCGTGCCTACGGCCGGACGGACACACTGACCGATTCTAGAGTGTACTCACTTTTTGAGTACACAAAAAGTATCCTTTATCTATAATCGCTATTGAAGTAAATTAGTTAGGATTGTGCAACACAAATTCTCATCAAGTTTTAGTATTAAAAACAGCATTGAATTCCAGAAAATCATCAACTGATTGCTGACAGATATGAATTTAAACCATAAAGAAAATAAATGACACTTTGTCTATAAAAAAATATAATGCTTTATTTCAATGATGAATCTATAGAATTTTAAATAGTTAAAATTATTTTATTTCATCTCATTTATTATTTTATGAGTCAAACAGTTCGCATGAAAAAATATATCTAGAAGATTATAGTCTTGAAGGTCTTTTGTAGATCATTAAGTGAAAAAACATCTCCCTATGATACTCCCAATCTTATATGCGTCAAAGAACGACAATCGGCAGATTCTAAAGAAAAGTTTTTCAATTTAGAAGAACTTTTAACTATATATAGCATTTTCATTTTTTCTTTACTAACGGATGAAACAAAGGATGCACACAAATCAACGTTAACTGATGCTCTAGAAATTGATTGAAACAATATTTATATATATACCTGGAAACACTTTTTCCAAATACCAAGACAATGTCCAATAGAAAACACTACTGCAAATCATAATAATCAGTGTTGAAAAAAACATTGGCACATTTCGATAAATAATTTGAAATAACGCTACATCTATTTTCCCTAAATCATGTAGCATTGCTTGCTAAACAAAAAGCAAAAGTCAAAGCAAACATGCCGCTTCAATTTGTCAAACAAATTCAAAAGAAAAATCTCACTTGAAATATTGAATGTGCAGCGATGTAAGGACTAACAAATATGAGTATATATTGTATTGCTGTCGGCCATACAACACTATATGGATGAATAGCTAATGATATCGCATAGATAAAAAATGTGCCCAATATTGCACGAACATTTTTATCGAATAATTGTACATTCATTATACAAAATGCGATTAATTGTAAACCGAATATTAGGTAGCCGAAAAAGAGAACACCAAAATTAACCGAATTAAAATATGCGTCTGGTTTTAATTTAAATTTATACACAATACATAAGAGTAAAGTTAAAAGACAAATAATAATCAATGTTCTAAAAAGATGAGATGAAATAGTTTTCATAAGTTTTATTTTTCACTTTACCGAATTGCTTGAGCGATATTATTCAAAACAGGTTCGATTCCAAGTACTTTAAGAATTTCTTTTACTTTGGCATTTTTTTCTCGAATTAAAGTAATTAAAAGAATTAAATATCTAATGAATAAAACAATCAAATAAATCTGTTCTGATTTCATTTTGTTTTACTTACGGAATAAGAAAGATAAAGTCAACCAAAATTAAAACTATTGTAACAATTATTGATTGTGATTCTTTGAAAGCAGAATTTTATTTATACTATTCTAATCTACAGTCATTTGAACATACCAAAAATAGCATCTCTACGAATCGGCGTACAAATCATAGCATCCCTTTCGATTTCGAATTCAATCGCACGATTTGTCTGATAGCCAATAAGTAATGAATCAATAAATAGTTTTACATCAGTAAATTCAGGTAATTCTGAACCTGCGGCGTTATTATCATCCGTTACATTCGATCGATCAGCAATGAAAGCTAAATAATTCAAGTTTTATAATATGCAATAGAGAAAGAGAAAGTATTCAGTTTTGATATATGTTACTTGGATGTAAAAAAGATACAAACGACATATCGATGGGTGAATTTTTCTTAAAGATATTCGACGCTCGAATCATTATATTATCTAAAAATGAAATAGCGGATTAGCCTGTCTCTTTTTTTTATCCATCAATTATTTGAATACTCACAATCAAGATTACGTTTACTCTTAAGATTCGATGTGGAACCAAAATCAATAATAATTTTATTGGTCGTTTCATCTTCTAATATGGAAGTAATATTTTCGTCACTTATATCTTCACTCCTTTGAATAAAATTTCTTTTTTTTGTTTTCCTTTGATTCATATAGAAGCTTAATTTACCATATTTTAGTATTCTGGCATTGTATTTTTGTCAAATGGTTTTTAGCAAGTTCAACAAGTTCTTTTGTTTCATTGGTCAATGGTTGAAAGATAATATTTGTTATGTTTGAAAGAGGACCGTGATTCAATGCTTCCCATGAACGTGGAGTATAACTTGGCGGAAATGCAAAACATTTGTTAAATAAATCTTTGGATAACGTTGTTGTTCTATTCATATTTTGTGAGCATAGTTTACGATCTAAACTTTTTGGAACCGATTGCGGATTTGAATTCAATTCTCTAATCAGTGCATTCGACCCATAGCGAGCTAAGGCTAATAATGCGATGATAATAAGAGGAAATAAGAGTTCACAAAGTATTGTTGGACAACATCCACAACATCGTTGTCGATATGAATAACGAAGCGAACGTTGAAGTAATAAATTAAGTTTACGAGACGAACCAATCGGAGAATATTCACTATGACTTAAAATTTTACGATGCTTTGGATTCTCAGTCATTGGATATTCAATGGTAGTGTCCGATGAGTTCCTATCTGATTTTGGGTGCATATCCATTTTATGTTCGTTATTGCTTAATTGTTTTTGTAACGAATCTATTCGTAATGAGTAATAAAAACAAAAAAATATACTATATAGCAAAGGAAGAGTTTTATTAATAGAGCGATACTTACATTGTGTTATTCCTGATGTTGTTTTTCTCAGTGAATCAGAATCAGAATCATGTATTTTATTCATTTATTGACTCGTGGTAAATGCCAATGATTAATTTTCTATAAAATAAAATAGCAGGATTCGTTTTTGCTTCTTCCGCGCGTATAATAAATTATTTTAATAAAATCAAATTAATATGTCTATATATGCACATATGTTTACAATAGAGATTTTCCTGTTTCGATAATCCTATTAGTACTTGCTCTACTAATATTATAATTTTAATATATTGACAATACCTGAGCAATAGACTCGAAGAAAAATGTTAAATGTACATGAAAAAATGCAAAAGAAAAAGAATCCATGCAGACTAATGCATCTATGTTGGCAGTTTTATATTGTCTAAAACCAATATTTTTGTTAGTGACAGAGAAAAATGAGAAAGAACAAGACACGTAGATAAATACGCAACTAAAGAGACAACGTCTGACGTCAGTTAGCTACTGTAATGCGTCTTCTGAAGCATTTTTCTTTTTCACATGCTTTATATTTTACTTCAACATCGGATGGTTTACTTTAAGATTGATAAGATAATCAAATAGTAGTTGGGGACAAGATAGAATTTGAGTTTATCTCAGTAATATTTTTAATGTAACTAAAAAAGTAAGAATTTAGCAATCGGTGTTACTTCGCTACAATCGAAAGCATTAATTTTATTATATTTGAACATCATCAGAGATAAAACACTAGCGCCACATCGTTGCTTTATCGGGTCAATAATCGATGCGAGAAAGTAGCGTAGGTCAAACTAAACATTATTGAAACAAAAGGACACAGCTATTCATGTGTGATCTCAAAAACGATTGTAAGAAATATAAAACCAAATGAACAGATGCTTCGTTTTTATCTTATTATTTAGTACAAGAAAAAGAATTGATTATTATTTAAAACCTTTTGTTCGAATAAAATTTTACCCCGGTATTGATTACTATTACACTATATAAAAAATACCCTTTGGTAACATGATTACTTAGTAAATAGTTGTCGAATGTTAATATAATTTATTATATTTAATATGAACAAAAAGAAAACGACTTACCTGAATCTGTATAATTTATCTGATCGAATAAAAGTTGAAATATCTCACGAGTAAATCACAAATAATCTTTACCTATCTATCTTCAATATTGAATTGTTAAGCGACAAAATCTAGAGTAAATATTTGTCTTCGACAATATTGACTTTTAGTTTATGAAATTGTTTTCAATTGAAATTATGATATTAAACAATTCATCATAGGAGACCCAGAATTCCTTGCTCACTGGAAGAGAGTTAGAATGCGGTTAACAGAAAAATATACGTGACATTTAGATTCTTATTTTCGAAATATAAACCTATTCAAGCTAGTTTATCTTTAGGATTCCTATTAGGCCTAGTTAAGAAAATAAGATATCCTTTACAACAATATCGTACTTTCAAAAGACTTATGAATGATGCGAATTGGAACTTCGAATAAAATAGGAGGATATCATATGTTTTCAAAGAATTTGAAAAAAACAACGAAAAACATCAGTTACTTTGTGCAGAACTGTACTTCAGGACGGTGCAAAATTTTGAATAATCTGTCGCATAACGATGAATTCTTTCCGTAGAGTTCGTTGTTTGGGACGAATCTTTAGTATTCTCGGTTCAAAATGTGAAATTCAAATTATTTTTCAGCATGATGCATCGCAAGTTTAATTTACAGAATATTAAAGTACATCCAGCTATAGGGTTCATTAGAATTCATACTATTTTAAACAATTCATCTGAGAGTATCAACATAAGGAAATTTTTTCCAGTTCGTCTTAAATTTCCGGAAAAAATTAAGCTAACACAAAAGTTCGAAGTTGATGAAAAAAAAACACTGATAAACTACTTTAGTTGCTTCTAATTTGTTGAGATGTTTAAAAATTTGATACCAAATTTGACGAAAAATCTTGTGATTAATAAAAGCGGTATTTTTTTCTAGGAGAGAGTCAAAAAATATCTAGAGAAAAAAAAATTATTTGGCAAAATTACAGTAAATTACATAAGTTTCGAAACTATTTTCTTCCCTAACACCAAAATAATAGAATGAATCGCTTCTTGGATATAATAATGAACGTGTTAGACAAGATTTGTTAATGATAGATACGTTTATGAAATTCCATGAGATGCGACAAAACAATTCGTCCGATCCCATCCCATTTAGAGCTCTGCTTGAGATTTTTAGAAGATTTCATAATGTACCTATTCTCAATTTCTAAGGTCAAAACAATACCTGAACATCTGAGATATGATTTTCACTCATATCAATTTTATTATGCCCAGGTTGCTTTCATTACGACACTTGTAAAAACAATAAAATTTATCACCATATTTGCTGAAACAGAAACAACGGAAAATTTATCATAAAAATCAGGAACAACTGGATAAATAATTAAACATTAACGGAGAAAACGCAAAAACGCCTATTATGACGTTTATTTTGATTTAATATTGACACATCCTGCAAATAAGGTTATTATTTCACATCGAAATCTACTCTATGTCTATAGAAACGATTTCTGTTCTGTGAAAAAGAACATTCCTGAATTTGACATTTTGTAAAAATTTACGATCAGCTATTTTATGTGAGTAGTACTATCAGAACCACTGAAATGTTGATATCAACAATGACGCTACTGAATTTATATCGTGAACAATTGATAAGCATTTGAATATTTGATGAATAAATTAAGACACGATTGAAATCTTATCCTTATAATTTGTTGAAGTACTTTTATTTTTATGTTCTAGTATAATTTCGAATAAGATAGTATCTGATATGAACATTAGTAATTATCTATTAGAATATATTCAAAACTAAAACAAGCTCATAAAGATCAAAGTGGCGTCGTAAATTTATTTGTTAAATAAATAGTTTTCTTTTTCATCTTTCATCATTTATCTTGTATGTAAAAATTAATTTTCTCGTGATATTGAAGCAGTTTGATATTTATTAAAATGACTTTTGTTCTCTTAGATACAATCACAGTTAAAAGAAAATATGAAAAATATATTTCTTGCAGGCTGATGAAAATCTATTAAATTAATACGGAATGTTGCAATTTTTTCGAAGAAAGAAGTTCATTTTTGTTTTTGTTTCTCTCTCATCGAGTGCAAGAAAATGTTTCATTATCAGGAGAGTCGCACACACACGCTCCCTCCAAGTGTCCGATCAGCCCTAGTTATGTTTGTTCTAAGAACCAAATTCAGATGTATGCTCGTCGATTGGTTTAAATGAATAACTACCGCGTCCATCCATATATAGACAATACTGAAAGATAAAGTATGCTTGTTTTTTTCTTGTTTCAAGATTTTATCTTACTTCGTGATATTTCCATAAACTTTTTCGATGTGAAACGGTAAATAAAGTAATACCAACCTAATGTATATTTTCATTAATATAGATATTAGGTTCGTCGTCAATAAGAACTTACTGTTCGGCAGTATTCATACATAAAGCCTTCAACGTCAACTGAAACTGCACTTGTACATTCGTCGAGAATAGCAAATTGAGGTTTATGATAAAAAAGACGTGCCATCTAAATAAAAAGAAACATAACCAAAACTGTCAATGAACGAATTGAACTTCATAACTGCTCAAAATCGGAATAATCTCTTTAGCGACTGATTTTTTAAAGGTCTATGTATAACAGTTTCATGAAAAGCTGGATTCTTCAATAATTCGAGTAGGATAAAGCCAATTACAAAGATCTAGACAAAACAATCATTTTAAACTTCGGTTAGTTGAATGAAAATGTCATTCTAAGCTAAATATTAGTTCAAATAGTGGAGATAAAATGCAAATGTTATACTAGACTCTAATTGTTGATACGTTATAAGAGAATACTTTGATTTTATGATTAAAATTTTCGCTTAGAGTAAGATTTTTTGTTTTTATAGAAAATAATAATGAAATTACAACTTACAGCAATACGTTGTTTTTCTCCACCTGAAAGTACATCCATCCAATCTTGTACACCATCAAAACCTCGTTCTCGTTGTACAAGATAAGTTAGTTGAACTTTATCAAGTAAATCATTTAAGTTTTCATCTTTGACTCCTTTACGACGCATATCACCAAGCGAATCAGGATAAATAATTTGATCACGTAATGTGCCAATTGTCATATAGGGTTTTTGAGGAATGTAAAATAAATGTCCACTACCTGGTTTTGTTAAAGTACCACTTGTAACAGGCCATAACTATTTTACAAATAAAGTATAAAAATCTATGATTTATTTAATTGAACTATTTACTTCGCCAATGGTACGAAATAAACTCGATTTTCCACATCCATTTGGTCCAACAACAATCACATTTTGACCTGATCGTACGGTAAAATTAAGATTCTCAATTAAAATATCGCCTGAACAAAAAAAAAAAGAAGGCCTTATATAAATTATGTTTCATCTATTATCTTAATAATACCATTTGGAGTCATGAGTTTAACATTTTCAAATCTAAATATGAATTTTACTTGTTAATTATACATCAACCTATTTGTCTTACTTGATAATTCCATCTTGTGTACGAATTCGGCCTTCATTATTTTTGTTTTCCATTGTAGTATTATTTATGCCAGTACGAACACAGTGTCCTTGATTGACATCTGATAAAACTCCAATGAGATCCGTAACACGTGTTGTAAAACTAATTAAAACAAATTAATTCGAATTAAAAATATGAACACATCTCCTCCCCGCATTGGGAGGTCTTATTTTTTTCAGATATTCTGCTTTTCTATGAACTCATGTTCTATTTATTTACAAAAGGTATTTTTAACGTGTCAACCTGAAAGCTATATATATATTTTACTGTTAAGATATTATGTAGTGAAGGAAGGGAATATTTGTATTTTAATTACCCAGCTAATTTTGTTAATTCACGGCCAGCAAGAACCTAAAACCAATGATGTTTCAAATGTAATAATGATTATGTGCGCTTCTTACCAAACGTCCAACAGCTAAAAATATAAAACCTAAGTCTTTTTTTTTATCAAAGATTACAACAACATA